ATGAAGTTGAACGGTGTGTGATACGGGATATCAAGGCCTACGGTCAAGTTTGGAGAGAAGCTAATGTTATGCAGCCTCTCGCTATCAAATAATCACCTTTTTCATATACCCTACCGATTCGCGGAATGTTCCCATCTCCGATATCTCAATATTCGCGCGAATAGTTTTCGAGAATTTCCCAAAGGGGTAAGTGTTATGTTGCTTGCCTGATCTACAGGGTGATTTTGCGATTCTAACTGGAAATTCAGGTATACAAATTGCCGCTTCTTGAGATTTTAGACATCAGCCGCAATAAGATCGGCCACCTCCCGGAGGAGATCAAGAAATTGTCCTCGCTCCGGGTTCTATCGGTAATGCAGAACCGCCTTGACGATTTGCCTCTGGGAATCTCCGACATGAACAAACTTCAAATTCTTAAAGTAGCTGGGAACCCCTTGCGGGGCCCCCTGCGACGGCTACTCGAGACGTCTGAGACAGAGTTCGCCCCCTCGACAATGACGGATAATGAGAAGGAGGTCGCAGTTACTGCCGAGCTGAAGCGATTCTTGAAAACCAAGCAGCCTGTTACGACTCTGGAAGTGGAGAGGAACGAGCTTAGGTATGGACTTAATCTGTCATCTGAAAGTAACCGACTAACGTTGATGTTTTCAGCGAGGGCATGTTGGACACCCCCAAACCCGTCAAGCGCGGAGTGAGCAGTCGGTTTCCGGTGATCCCCAGCACCGGTGATCTTTCTTCCGACCCAAAGTCACCGTCCTTGTCTCGACCTCCGCCCATACCTCTCAAATCACACTATCGCATTGCTTCGGGACAGTCGGTCTTCCAGGGCGGATTTCTCCCACGTTCCGGCGCAAGGCCTTTCGCGGGAGTCAATGAACGAAACCGGAGCAACAGTGAAGGTATCATCCAGGCCTCTCTGGCCGCGCGGAACAAGCGGATGGGAGTTATTCGGAAGAATACCGACTTAGGGACGTTGGACGAGACCCGACCGTATCGGAATAGTCATTTACGGGGTTTGAGTTATGGCTCTATTCTTCGCACCCGGCCCATTGCAGCCGTGTGCAACAGTAACTCCACAAGCCCCAGTAGCCCGAGGGAACGCAGGCGCTTAAAGGATGGTTTTGTCAACCGAATGTCGAGTCTGCCAGAACACAAGGGCGAAAGGGAAACCGCGGAACCTATCATCGAGTGTGCGAAGGGGATTCTTTTTGCACTCTTCCAAGTGCAGTCGAATGTTTCGTCTCTGATCAATGTGATCAAACGCGATGATGCTCGGCGCAACAGTCTTGAGATTGTGTTCTACAACGCTTCTACCCACGTTGAGCGGCTAAATGAAGCCATAGAGAACGCGGAGCACCATTCTGACGACGTGGATGGGGTGCGCTCGTCGAATGAGGCTGTCAAAAGGGAATGCGAAACATGCATAATTGCGTACACTCATGTCGGAACGCAACTGCGCAATAGCATCGACAAGATAGTCGCCAATGGTGACCCACGCTACTTGCGTTCCTTGATGCTCATGATCTTTGGCAGCGTGGTTGAACTGCGCAATGCCTGTGCGAGCCTGGGTATCCCACTCCAAACCCGCAAGCCGCCCTCTGTCACGAAGCCATCTATACCTGAAATCAAAGAGTCGGCTAGCTCGGACCGCTTCCTTGGACCGACAGTCACTCCAACCAGAGGGAGGGAAAATTCTTTGTCGACGCGTCGGTTGCGAAGTGACACCACAATCCAGCACCCCCAGATCACTACGACCGGTCCTTTCCAGGCTGCTCAAAACTACCAGTCCGCTGTCAGTTCACCTGGGTTTGCTCCGACTCCGTTTAGCTATGGGGCACGAAGCCGGTCAAGTAGCAGATCTAATCATATCAACACATCCGTACCGTCGTCACTCGCGACCCCTCGTTCAGGCGAGTCCTTCCCTCCAATGCCCAGTGCAGTTGTACCTCGAATCAATCCTTTGACAGGCTTAGATGAGATCGAGGAGGAACGGATTTTTGAAAAGATTTTCTATCAACTCACTTCTGCCTACACCGCTGCCCTACAAGCGTTGCCTCTGGCGCGCCGTCAGCTAGTGCGATGCCATGAGGTAGCAGAACAGGAACATGAATCGGAAGGCATATTAATGCTATGGAACAATTTGATTCGGCGGTGCCGGGTATGCTTAGAAGTATCCGAGGCCCTGGGTCTTCGTCTCTCCAACATGAAGGTAAAAGAGCCCGGCGGCGGGATGCGGAACCAGCGCGAGTTCTGGCAACTCTGCAAGGCGTTCATGCAGTCCTTTGTCGATCTAGTTACCGACATGAGGGAGGTTCGAAGTATGCAGCTTCTCCCGGGTGATATCATTGTCATACTTCGTCCAGTCCAGAGAGCAAGCAGAGAAGCAGGTCGGTTGATCGATGCCTCCCCGTGGTCTTACCTTGCCGATATGGCCCCAGCCAACGCGTCAGCAACCATATATGGGCCTCCGCTACAATCCCAACATTCACAGCATCAAAATACCGCATCCAATGCAAGCAGCTTTCATCTGAACTCCGGCGTATCCCCGCAGTCCGTCCATCTCCCGGCGACTCCGCTAAGTGCTGCCCTTGGACCAGCAGCGCAGGCAACCGTGCCTTCTACCCCCGCAAGTGCGTACAGTGACAAATTCTTCGAAGGGGATGTGTTTCAGAGAGCTGACTCGTTGCTCTCGATGCCCAATCAGGCGCCATTTTTCAGTCGTCGGTGAGACGTTAGCATTTACAGTTGTATGAGGGAGGCAGTGTTTCATTGAGTGGAGTCTGTGCTACGGTGATTGGAGTTCTGTCGCATATTTCTGTGCTTGCTCTTATTGCTGCGAGGGGTAGCTGCTCTCTATATCTTACTCATGATCTTTGCAGGTACAAAGTTTGATCATCAAGGACCAGAAAGAGAGCCTGGTCGCGTCTGTTTCAGTATGTATACCTGGATTGTATCGTGCGCAGTCGTGACTCGAGTTGAGAACCCTCAAGCTATACACACCCACCCCGTCCTGATCTACACTGTTGATATTTGTTTAGTTCAGCCTTGTTTGCCTGTTTGTTCCATTAGTCGTTTTTTATTTGTTCATCACTCCCTGTCCGCATTCATCTTACACTCGGAAATCAGGGAGTCGGGGATAAAAGGGACATCTACTATTACATATCTGGTCTTTTCTTAAATTTTTTTTTTTTTTTTGCGAAAGGGGAAAAAGGCGTATTGGGTTTAAATTCCCAGGGACAGAAACCTTGCATAGCGTGTCATAATTCTAGCTTTTTCTTTTACCCCCAGGTTCTTCTCTTTGATGGATAATGACTAGATCGAAATGAAATAAAAATTTCTTGTAATTTGTTTGCCTGTATTGGTCAGATCGTAGTCCGTGCTGATTGTGGATCGGCTTAGCTGAATGTCTGCAAAGCAATATGGTACGCGCTGTATCTGTAGGCTAACCACAAATCTCAACGAGATGTTTCATTCTGACGGGCAGGTCAGTATTGTAAAGTTATGCGCGCTTTTAGCAAAGCAAAGAACGAAAAGAAGCCCGCAGGTAACGGATCTATATCCCCTAGGCTATCAATTACCGAACAAGAACTCTCGTGCATACTATACGAATGAAGTATCCGTGCTTTGTAGATGAGTGACAGTGGGTAGATAAGCAAACAAGCAAGCAAGCAAACATCATACTACTTACTCATCTTCTACTTCATGGCCAGTAAATACCATCTACTATCTAGGTATCCTGCATATCCCACAAACAACACTAGTTATTACTCGCATATGCCGTCGCCTATGTACCTACCTGCACAATGACAGCAACTTCACATATTCACACACAGAGAAGGACATACAACACACAGACATATCTATATCGTGGAACAGATGTACTTTTACAATGAAGTATTTTCCGTGTGTCAAGTATATGTAGTATACTGAGACATCTATACCACCCCGATTTATCCCATGATACAGTCCATCTCAATTAGCAATTCACACAATAAAGATGCACTAATGCGGGGGATAAACAAGACTGCAGAATCTGCACGGACGGTGTATTTGGAATAGAATGGAATGGAGGGGAAGGGAGGGGATTGAGATTGCGACGGTCATCCGGGGATGGAAGAGGGGAGATCCAAGCGAGCGAGAGCGTTATTGATACTGATACAGTTCGATTACCAATGCTGTATCTGCATAAACCAGGGGGTGCTTGGACTTAGTAGAGGTCCGTGGTACAGACTGTTGATGCATTTAATACTTGTTTGTTTGGTTGTTTGCTGCTGATGAAGAAGCGAAGTGTAGGCAGGGGGGTGTAGGAGGTCTGTTGATTCCCTGTTATGTGGGGTGTAGGCTGTACAAGATCTGATTGAGGAGGGGAGAGAGATGAATATGAAGGAGGATGAAATGCTTGGCTGGGAGGTAATGTTTGGTTGGGATCTGTGTCCGAGGTGAGGAGGGAAGAAGGGGGATGGACAGAGGGAGGGAGAGGTACTATGATGTCTTTGTCTGTGGCTTGATTTGGCTTGGCTGGGACGATGGGATCCCGCCGGGTGGCGCTCTTGGGGTTTAGATAGGCTTTGGTTAGCATTTTGTGGCATCTTGGATCTTCTAGAATGGTATATGTTGTAGGGATGTGGTGGATAGTAGTCAATCAATAGTGAGGGGAGGTTGTAGGCGACGTGGGGCATTAGTTGCTCAGCCTTTTCGCTCTTAACATGGAGAAGGTTGGTTCACTTGGATGAGAGATGTAGTGTCCAGTCAATAACTGTCCAGCATTGTTGAAACTGGCCGTTCTGGTCATACTAATTAGTAAACGATTAGGAGTTATGTCAATTCGTGCGGCATGTATTACGAAACGTAAAGTGGGCATTGGTCCTGCAGCGATTGGAGGGGAGGGTAAAGCAAAGATACCAATCCAATTGGCATATGTACGTCTTTCTGCTCGTATACTGCCCGGATATTGTTTCCAGCCAGCCTTGGATGGAAAATACTAACTTTCCCTATCAACCATGGTACGTTGTAGCAGTGGGGATAACCGTAGGACGCTAGTCGCGAAAGAAGTGACAAGCACTGACAGGCACTCCGCCAATGCCTAGACTAGTTACTTCCTGTATACATGCTGGGATGATTAAAATGAAGCAGAAGCAGAAGCAAAGCATCCTGCAAACCCCTCGAAGCTGCATAGGGCACGGGGCACAGGGCTAGGGCCGATGCTGCTGTCACGGGATCGAACATTGTCTCCAAACAAGAAATCTTCTTCCCTATCATCCATGTCACCATCGGAGTCCTGGAGCCCATCGCATCGCATCCCTCCAGCGGCATCCCATCTGCATTCGCTCTCACTGTTGTCGGCTTCGCGGCTGCCTATCGTCGGATTGGAAGCATCACTTTTTCGGATCATCAGCTCAGATGATGCAGCAAGCGTCGCGACTACGGGCCGAACAACCCCACTGAAAAGTCGGTGTCGTTGGAATAGAAAGGAAGCCAGCCAGACAGCAGTAAAAAGCCATAGGCGTCATCCTTCCCCTGTCACCATTCACCACCACCACTCATTCCATCCCGCCTTGTCAATGATAATTCCCAGGCGGACGGAGAGAAGCGGCATCGCCTCCCCGCCCCGCTTCAACAAGATCAGGGTAGAAAACAAATTTACTAGACACGGAGCCAATGAGGGTGCAGAGCCGGACATACTTCTCAGATTGTCGCCTGCAGGTTGGCATGAAGAAATGGGTCTGAACCATCACCGCTCTTTATACCGGCTTGCTTGCAAACGGGCTTGGCTTTCCAATTGCCGCCTCTCCGACCAGGTCCGGAATAATGAGGCGAGTTTGCGTTGGAGGGTCAAATCCATCGTGATCGGTGCACTACTAAAGTGAGGCGCCAAGCGCACGCAAGACCGCCGACAGTCAAGCCCCTTTATTCGTGCGCGGTCTTGGATAATGATCCAGCCACATTGTCTGCTCCCCCTCCGTTTTGGTTGACTGCTTCCCTGGGTGTATCCACCCCCCTGGCACGTCTTTTAAGATTCTACCCTTCAGCAGACTCCGAGCTTAAATAATAATCTTACGATGTCGATCGATAGTTTCCTCCCACTTACAACGTACTTACGGAGCGGTCGGAGTCAATAGTCCATTCCTCATCCCGCGCGTGAGCCCACTTGCCAGGGGGGGAAGCCCGGCCGGATTCTGATATTGAGGTTAAGACTGGGGAGGTGTGGTCCAGGGCTGTCGCTGACTCGGGTTGGCCTACCGATGCCACCACGCGTGTGTGAGATCCACTCCGACCGAGACTTTTGAGTGGGCTTTTCTATCTATCAATCTGCTAGGGGCGGGTGGATCGGTTAACATCCCCCATGTCCCACCCTAAGGAAGGAAAAGTGGAAAACAATGGGAGGTAAGAAACTATGATCACGGCTCTTTGTTTAACCACTTCCCCTCTAGCACCACCCCCTGTTGCCCCTACAACGGAAGACGGCAATGGTGAAGGAATAGGGGTCTGTAGCGCGATCTTTCCGTCGGCGGTCACCGAAAGGAAGACTCAATCGCAGTTCTTAAATGTCGGTGGACCAAAACGGAATTCAGTCGGAAACTATCATTGTCAATCCCACACACGATAGTTGGAACGAAGTAGGTGATGAGTCCTACGACCGGGCTTTAAGGTTTCTATGGAGCATTTTTCAGTGCTTCGATCGCAAACAGAGCAACGGAAGAATCTTCTTCGGAGAGGCAGCATCATTGTACAGTAGAGGCGCTGGAGGCGCGCAGACCACAGGGACAATTAATTTGTACCTGACAGGGTACAGGCGACGAGAATGTACCATTCACAACACGAGGTCAATCCGGATGGCATGACGGGGATGGCCTTGTCTAGCAATGGTCGGTGTCGCATAGAGCCGTTGGCGGACTGTTTCCCGCTTTGGGAGAAGACCACTAAAGAGTAATCAGAACGGAGGAAGGAATTGGAATGATCTGATCGGAGCGGACATGGATGTCCTGACAGAGTTATATCCCGATCTTCTTCAGTATGTCGACGATGACGAAGACAGTCCGTCGCAAGGATAGCTTCGGGAGTACTTCTGGATGCATCAAGGGCTGGAATGCCCGGATGCCCCCTGCTTTGCCCTGGTTTCTACTACTCCCAGGACAAAAGGTAAAATGGGAAGCAAAAAGGAGAAAAAAAATAAGGCAAAAAGAAGAAAAGGGAAAAAAAAAAAAAGTAAGAATTAAAAAAAGAGAAGAAAAAGCAATACACCCTAAACAAGAAGCCGGATCAAGATGGATCCGTGGCCCAAATTGATCTGAACACCGGGGACGGCAGGCTGCATCGTCCCTCTGGCTGTCTGCACATTATTCAAGTGGGAATACACCGAATGCCCTCTGCGTACAGAGGTGCATGTATACTCCGTGCTTGTGTCCGGCCCCTTCTGCACACTGACCTAAATTATTTCGTTTCTTTTTCGACGATCTCCCACCTTCCTCCTGGCCGAATATATCCTATCCTGACCAGAGGGATTGGTGGCGCCTGTCGCTGAACGCATGATTGGGATTCTGGGGGGACGGCCTCCCTATCACATCGGCGCCGATGGTAAGGGACAGTCAGGACCGGATTCACTCCCACAATGGCCGGGTACCAGCATGGGCACCGGCACACGCCCGGATTTTGAGATCGTACACGATACCGGGGGGGTTTCCTGTTGTTGCTGAGGAATGCTGCTGGGGGCGGAGGGGAAGGGAGGGGGAAAAGAGTAAAAAATATTGGCAAAAAGCCAGCAGGGATTGTTGGTGGTGAGATTTGAGTTTCAATCTGCGCCCTCGCGCGGCCGTTAAGGAATGAACGAACGGATCAGGATCAGAAGCAGGCTCACGGCGCAGCAGTGATCCCATCCCATCCCCATCTGATCCTCATCTGATCCCATCCTTTTACCCACTCGCCTGCCAGAACGAACACAGTTAAGAAAAGGGAAATCCCCCCTCCAAGCATCCCACGTCATCCACTATGTGACTAGGGATCGCTGGACCGACTCGCTGAACGTTTCCAAAATTCCCTTTCCCTCGGTGCCCGTTCCCGGGTGCGAAACAGCGCCCCGGAAAGTTCGTAGCTGCTGCAAGCGTCTAGATTAGATCAGCCTCACTTTTCGCAGCGCTCCTGCAAAAGGCAGTGGGTGCCTCTGACTAGTCAGTCGCATGCTGGCTGTCTTCTAACCTTTCTCTTTCTCTCTTTCTCTCGCGCGCACTCTCTGTCTATTTTCCCCTTCTCTGTCCCTATCTACTGCGATGCTACTGCGCCGCACTCCTTCTCTTTCCTTTTAGCTCTCCGTCTGGTGGCTCGTGTGTCCAACCTACTGCGGGCTTGTAAACCCTCCTTCCTTAAAATTTGATTACGTGCAGGGCCGTCCTTCTCCTCAGGCTCTGAACACCGTTACTACTAAGTACTCCCTACTTAATAGTATAGGAGTATACTGAACCTGCATGCCTATCTCCCCTCCTCGTCATTGGCTATATCATTACAACTGATATCCCGGTCTCTTTGTCAACCTGGTTGGACGCGATTTGTCAGAGCAACGTTGTCTACTGCTTCTCTTGTCGCCATTGGACTTCACTCTGCCAACTACCTTTGTTCGCTACGGTGATCTCTTTTCTTGTTGTTGTCGTGTAGGCCCATTGGACCTTGTTCCTTTCATATCTCTTTGCTGCCTGCGACGGTCCTCGACCCAGTTTCATCTGGTGCCCGGCCGGTTCCTTCGAGCTTTTTGACTTGGCAAGGAGACGCAGATAAGGGAAAAACAGTGGGAGAAAAAAAAGTAAAAAGAAAGAAGAAAAGGAAAAAGAAAGGAGGAAACTGAAATTCCGATTCGCAAAACAAGGAAATTGGCCCCAATCCCGAAAGGTTCACCTAGGGTCTTACTACTATCGAAACACTATTTTGACAAGCCCGGCATCCACGATTGCCCGTTTTATGATCGGCATTGGCGATCGACGTCGTTGACTAACCTCGGGTGCGTACTATTTCTCCCTCCCTCACCTGGGTTCCTGTCGACCGCAGGCAAGGACTGTTCGCAGGGTCGCTGCGAAGGGATCCCAATCCGAACCCGCCGTCGAGTATAGGGCTTCCGGTGCCTTGCGTCCTATCGCCCAGGAAATGCCCGTGATCCCCACGTTCTAATCGCTGTCTCCAGATTTCATCTATCCATTCTTCCGAGTCTACCCCAGACCATCTCTCTTCCTGGACTGGTGCAGTTTCTCCTACCTCGTCTGCTCCGAACCCTTTCTGGGCGTTGGCAAGATCGGATGGAGATGGACTTCCAAAAAACGAAGGAGGCCCGGCGAGATACGCCGAGCAAGAAGGAAGAAAACTCCGAATGCCCCTTGGAAGCATATGGAGGCAGTGGCCATGCGAAGGACTCGCCCAAGAATGACTCTCTGGACCACCATCGCGATGCGAAGAGCCCCCCAGACTCCGCGAATATGCACCAGCGACGCCAGCCGGGTAAATATACCTACCGTGATGGTGTAGCCCCAACATTTCCGTCGCCTATCCAGATGGCAACACGGGTTCTGGCGCCGTCTGCACGAGCAATGCACATTCCCCCAGCCCTGCCACTCAGCTTGGAACAACATCAACGGCTACTAGCTGCTAAAAGGTATCCGCCAGTGACCAAGAGTACGCTTAGTGAACTGGACCTGCCTTGTATCATGAGCAACATTAACCTCCGAATGGACGCCAACTTTGACCGTGATCTTCACTTTAAACCTGACCTGCAGGGAGAAAAAGGCGAACGGAAACGAAAGGAGGCCCACGACTACTGGGAGGCTATGGCTGATGAGATCGCTATATATGCATTCGGTGCCGCACAAGGGACGAACGGGACAGACAATGTTGGAATCTCAGATAATCTATCGCGGACCTTTGAACCGCGGCTACCCGCCATGTTCGAAACCTTGCAAGACGTCCTGAAAACGCTCGTCCCTGAGCGGGACCATCCGGCTGTGGTACAAAATCTCGAGGTAACACTCCTGATGCAACAGATTCAGAAGGGCGTACTTGATATGGTGGGTGTGGCAAGCTGGCTGGCGGCCTTGCTCAAGACACACTGCGCTCCTATGCGCGATGAATGGGCAGATAAGATGGTCAAGCAGATACGGTCAGGGTCGGAGTCGCAAAATTCGCACCAAATCGTCGAAGGACTCAAAACACTGTTCGCAATCTTGGAAGCGATGAAACTGGTAAGGATCGGGCATGCTGGGCTTGGCGGCCACGCATATTGGATGGAATTGCTAATGTGTCTCTAGGATGTTGCCAATCACCAAATCCGTGCTTTCCGTGTATTGCTCATTGAAGACACCGTTCCGTTCCTACAGGAGTATTTCCGAGGCAAGATCGAGAGGGACAATTTCTGTGTGGAAACATCGCGACAGTGGTATCTGGACCTCCGCGATCGAGAGTTGTGCCGCATGTCGAAACCTACCCAGATGGACGGGTTCTGGCCCGTCTCTCTGTTGTTTGGTGGCATCACCGACTTTCTTCTGCAGTACCGGCGACCAGACAAGTTCCCTGAAACGTTCGTTTTCGACTCGGACCGGCTGCGGCAGCTGCGATCTTGTCTCCAAAAGCTGATCAACCTTGATATCTGCTGGTTCATCTTCGAGTCGTACATCAACGCACAGAAACGGTATCTTTCGGCGCCAGCGCAAACATACGCTACTTTCCGCACCCGTATCGGATCGCTGATGGAAGAGAACGAAGACTACCCTCGAGGGGATCCTCGGTGGCTGAGAAGCGTACGGAGCATCGCGCTGGAGATTGCACGATTTGCATGCGCCGCGTGCTTCCAAGACGGGTCGGTCTCGGACGATGTCATTGTGCAAATAGAAATGGCACTGGAATGCCACCTCTCGAGCCCCTCCAACTTGTTCCAGTATTTCCAGAGCTCTCTTCGCGAGAAGCTACTAACAGCGACGTTCACGACGGCGAAGAAGTACATGAGCATGTCACCCCTGGCGATCTGCGAATCGCAGCGCAACTATCCGCCCTCGTCACTAACACAGCAGCACTATGACATCGAGCGAATCGCCATGCGCCTTGCACACATGGGCGTGCTACACTGGAACGTCTGGGCGCCGATTCTATACATGCGCGAGAGTGTGTCACCGATTGACGTGGCGAACAACACGAGAACGGTCACTGACGTGGCGCGCTCGTCCACCCTGTAATCCATCGCCTTATTTGCTTTTTGGTTTTTGAGAGTTCTCTTCTTCTGATGTACTCTTGATATGGGATTACTATGCGGAGTTTTGATCTTGAATTATTGATTGCAGTTCAGCGAGTTTCATGCATGGTTCTTTTGATTGGTTTGGCGTCCATATGGGGAAGGGCATATATACTACTTCATACTGTTTAATGGGCCTGGTGTTGGGTTTCGGGCATTCGAAGGAAAACAGAGGATAGAGATGTGCGATATGCAAAGAATGGTGGGATGTCTTTTGGCAACTTGACAATTTATGGTTACTCAAGATGTATTACTCTTAGATAAAATGTAGAGTTCGATGCTGATATGCTGAGAGTAGTGATGCTGATAGTTCATAGTTATGCATGGGATATTATACATTATGTAATCTATCATTCATAAACCACCGGCACATCAAACACTAGTTAACTACGGAGTAGATCATAGATATAGATTTAACATCAACATCCACTCTGTTCCATTCCATTCCTTGATATCCATTGATCTATCCTCACAACCGTTGTTTCACAACAAACGCATAGTAATTATTATTCTCGGGTCGGTCGTATATTCCACTCTGTGATATATATATACATTCGACGCTGTCAAACATACAACCATCACCACCCCACGCCGAAACCACCAACAGAACAAGCAGCCAACCAAAATACTTATTGGGACTCCTACTAGCTCAGTACCAGAAGCCATACCAAGACCCAGCTAAACAACCCTCAATGTCCGAAGAAGATATAAAGAAAGAAGAACGATCTTGAAGAAAGAATAAAATGAAATACCCCTGGCTCCGCCCCCTCAAAGCAAAAGCCCTACAACAAATAGCTCAGAAAACGGGGATTCAGAGCTCAGGTACGAAGACGGAATTGGTGGAGAGGTTAGAGGGGGAACTTGCTCCGTTGATCATCCCTCTTCATACTCAGATTGATGCTGAAAATGATGGTGTTCCGAAGAAGCACACAAAGAAGAGGAATGATAATGACAATGGAATAAGACTCCTAAGCATCGATATGGGGATTCGCAATTTGGCGTTCGCTGTGTTGCATGCTCCTTTATTATCCTCGCACTCTTCATCTACCGTCTCATCCGAGACAGGTACACCCAAAGACACAACCAGAAAGGAAGATAATACCATAACCCTCACCGCATGGAAACGCCTCTCCATTCCTGATCTGTGCCATGCACAACATCACCAACACCTTGGTCAGGATGGATTTTCATCCCTCATCACCACCACCACCAAATCCAAATCAATATCAAAATCAAAATCGAAAGAAACAAAAGCAAAGGCAAAAGAAGACTTCTCCCCCAGTCTCTACGCCCGCCACGCATACACCCTCATCACGACCCTCCTGACCACATATAACCCCACCCATATTCTAATTGAAAGACAGCGGTTCCGTACGGGAGGAGGCTCCGCGGTCCAGGAGTGGACCATCAGGGTTGGTGTGTTGGAGGGGATGTTATATGCTGTTTTGGAGACGGTGAATTCTTCTGGACTTTTTCCTTCGGCTGGGAAGGTGCAGGTGTATCCTGTGGAGCCGGGGAGGGTGAGTCGGTTTTGGGGGGAGGGGGAGGAAGCGGGGGATATTGGGGATGGTGACGTGGTGAAGAAGACGAAGAAGAGGAAGAATGTGAGGGATGTGAAGAAGATGAAGATTGGGTTGGTGAGGGGGTGGTTATCGTCGCCGGGTTCTGATTCTGCTACTGCTGTTGGGAATGGGGATGGGGATGAGGGTAGGAGGGTAATGATAGGTGATGATGAGGTGAGGAAGTTGGCGAAAACGTTCCTGGAGAAGTGTGAAGGGAAACGGCGGATAAAGAAGGCAGATGGGGAGGATGGGGAGAATGGGGAGGATAGTATGGATATTGGCAAGTTGGATGACTTGGCGGATTGTCTGGTACAGGGGGTTACTTGGTTGGAGTGGCAGAGGATGAGGGAGAAGATTGTTAGGGATGGGGGGTTAGTTATGATTAATATCATACTCATCATGTTTATTTTAAATTGTGGAGGTATCTACTTCTACAAGGAGTAGGTAGCAATAGACGAATGTCATTCGCTCGACCAACAAAATCGCTTCGTAATCAAGGTCATCATCTTGAAAGAAATATCTACTGCAAACACAACACAAAACAAAATGTACAGAGAGCCGATGTACCCGCTAAGACGCCTTCGCCACCTGCTGGGTCAACTCGCCTGATGTCGCATCGCCTGACATCCCGAGATTCATGTCCGAGAGGTTCACGAGAAGGTTTCGTGGAAAAAAGAGAAATTGAAAGAAAAAGAGCTTTGTTCGTTAAGCGGTGGAATCGACAGATCCCAGAAGAAAAGAAGAAAAGCCAATTACCCATCCCTGGGGAGGAGAAAATTGGAAAAGAGAAGTAAAGTCTAGGTTGAAGATGGACGAAGACGGCCAATCCAAAGTCAAAATAAAATGAGTAAGTTTGTACCAGAAGCAAAACAGTAAATCCTCTCGTAGGTACAGTGCCAGCGTGTGCTTTTTTACGCCACGATTGGGAATCTCAATACAGGCGTGGCGTCAAGCTCGTGACCCGAAGCAGTCAAATTCAATTCAATCATGGCTTTAGTAGACGCGGCGGAAGTGAGAGGGGAAAGCAACCTTGCTGCTGGTCTGGAAGCCAGTGGGCCGGGCAGCGCCGCTGGGGAAAGGGAAGGTGCCGTTGCTGTGGCCGTAAGGGGCGCTGGGGGTGGGGACAACGGTGGGCTTGCTGTGGGTGGTGGCCTCGGCCTGGGTGGTGGTCTCAACCTCCTCACTGGTGGACACAGAGCTGACCTCGATCTTGGCAACGCTGTCGGGGGTGGAGATGGGAGTGGGAGTGGCGGTCTGCAATGCATCAGTAAGGGGTTCAAACCGACAGCTTGGTTTCAAGTGGGTACATACCACAGTGACGGTGTCGTGGACAGTGACAGTGACCGGAGCACAGGTCTCGCCAGCGGTAGCAGAGCCCGCGGGGGCGGAGCTACCAGCGGGAGCGGAGCTACCAGCGGCAACGGAAGAAGTAGGGACCGCGTAGAGAGTGTAGGTCTCGTAGTCGGTGGAGGTCGAGTAGACGGTAGTGTCAGAGGTGACGGTGGTGTCCTGGGCAGTGGAGGAAGCACTGGCAGAGGGGGTCTATGATATATCCGTTAGTATACATCCTTCTTCATGTTTCCAGAAAGGGCTTCCATAACATACCACGTAGATGGTCTCGACGTCAGTCACGGTGCGGTGAATAGTGGTGGTGACGACGCTCTGGGTGGAACCAGAACCCAGGGTGTAGGTGAGAGTGACATCCTTGGTGGAAGTCACAGTGTCGTACTCAGTCGAGACACCGTTGCTACTAGTAGCAGCAGCAGCCGGGGCGGAGATGGGGGCGCTGCTGGAGACACCAGTGCCGAGGGGAACGGGCACAGGAGCGACAGAGGAAGCACCAACAACAGCAGCGGAGCTGGAGCTGCTGGCATAGTGACCACCGATGATGGGGGAGCTAGCAGCGACTCCGGCGGCGGAGCTGGCGGGAGCGCTGGGAGCAACGGGAGCGCTGGAGTGCTCGGGAGTCGGGTAGACGGGGACGACGGAGGTCGACACAGTCTGGTTGTTGTAGCCACCAGGGTGGAAGTTCATCTGGCGCGCATGGAAGCCGTGGTTGTTGGCCTCACCGACCGCGGCGAAAGCACCCAGCAGGGCGATGGAAACCTTGGAAGTAAGCTGCATCGTGAAGGATTGATGGTGGAGGTTCGAAGAAGTCCGAGTAGATGGGAGAGATATTCCGTTCTTGGGTTATTTGGTAGAGACTGCGGGGGTAGTTTTCTCAACGAAAGTGAGATGCGAAATCTATTCGCAAGTAAAAACAAAGCAAGGTTGAAAGAGTGACTGGACGCAAGAAGGAAGGTCGCAACGTTCTCGCAGAGAGAGGTTGAACAGGAGAGAGAATGTAGCAGTCTGACGAGAGACTTTTAGGAGGCCCGGGAAGAAAGTGAAGGAGTTTAAAGGAAAAAAAGACCCGGGGGGAAAAGAAAGAAAGTCAGAAAAAGGGAAACCTAAAGGAGAACGCCGTAATATCGAAATTTGATTAAATCCATTCAATTCGGGATCCCTGCAGCCCGTCGATACGCGATATTACCAGGCACCGTATTTTCTCCAACGTCGTATGGAACAGATGCGAGATGCCCGTTGGTGGACAAGTCTTGGAAGATTCGCCCATACGGCGCTAATGTCTCATCGTGGCCGAACGAGGTGGTGTCGGGCGTGCAGTTGTGCCCAGTTGTTGATAACCCTTCAGCCAATCAACACGCACTGCCATCCTCCTGATATTGATCTTAATTTTAATTTCCTCAGTCCCGAGTGGGTCTCCGGCGCAGGAACCACACGCGGATTAGCTGGACTGGAGATGAAGCCCCGTTTCATCCCCTCACCGCCTCTTCTCATTGGTTCTTGGCTGCCAGCTTAATCTCATTGTGCCTGTCCAAACGGGCCAACCGCACGGCTTCCGTCTTGTTCGACTTTTTTCTTTACTCCCCCTCGTTTTGCCTAATACGGATATTACTAGTAGGTCGCTGTGCTGTCGCTGCCAGACCAACAGCCAGCGTGCATCAGGATCGCACAGGTTGTCTGAGAAGGATGTGTCGGTAAGCTGTTACCGCCCCCTTCAGGGACCATTTCAGGGCCCTTTTGTTTCTGGTTCAGAAATAAAAGAAACAACAACAACAATAACAACAACAACGTCGATCGTGTGGGTTGTCAACACTGCCCGGATCTGGTAATTCCCGTCGGTCCTCAAACGAAGCATCCATGGAACAACCGCCGACAATCGTATGTTCAACCGCCACGCTTGACTCAACCTCATTAATGGGCCGGCGCGGAATTGTTATTACCGTAATTTACTGGTGGACACGCTTTAATCAACAATCCGCTGTGGATTTGTTTACTATCACCTTCACTGGTTGACCGTGCGGAGATGACATCCTCCATTCACGCAACTGGGCAACGTATACACTCTACACAGCATTCTGGAGACATGGAGAACAAAAGTAAGAAAAAGGGGCATGATGAGTCGAGAAGGATCTAAGCTCTATCCTCATTCCATCATACAGTTAACGAGCTCATTGCCAACACCCCCAAGCTTCTTACAGTGGTTTAGTCAACGATGCTTCATGAAAGGGGCTAAAATGATACAGCCTAGTGGCTTTGACTCCGAGCTAAGACTTCTCGTGCTGATGGCGTGAGACGCTTTGTAACCGAAGGGACTCATGTCTGAGCCGAGTCTTTTCTCAACGCGAACTATGGAGAAGAGGGAGAGGAAGAAGCCCCCAAGGAGGCTCAGTAGTCAGTATATCGACAATCCCGAAATCAATTCCGTCGGTGGGCGCGCCAGTCTCGTTTGACAGGGTTGATCAAGAAAATCTGCGCGGCGATGGTCTTGGGCCTACGAGGCGTGGGTGGTAGGTGCAGACCAAGTGGAGCCAGCATGGGGGGTCTAGACACCGGCGAGGTTCCTCCAGAACAAAGACTGATCATATCGGTTGATTACTGGCAGTGATCCAAGCACAAAGAAGGCCGGGATATAAATTATATTGTGTGGTGCGGGATATTGGCACTGGTGGTGATAACAGATGAAAGCACAGCTCTGAAGTTGTTCTTGGTTCTTGACCCTGACCGGAGCTGGGGAAACCACGGCCGCCAGCGTTTCAAGCTGATGAGGGCCAAAGTATATGGTTGCCTGAACCGTGAACACGCTTTCACTGTTTGTGCGCCATCGACTAGGAGATGATCGTCTTCGGTTCTTATCGGCTAGCTTTCAGAGCTCGGAGAGCTCCTGTCCTGTCCAGTCACACCATTTCAGTAGTTAGCTCCGTATGAGCTCCCACTCATTCGTAAGCTAGACTCTATTTCTTCTGTTGATACTTGGAATGTCACAATCACATCTTGGGCATAAGTAGGGAGTATCTACCCCTGATGAGTACTTGGCCAAGTCACTGGAGACTCCACTGAGCGCGGCCGGCAATAAACCATTAACCAACACTCCGGAATAAGCGGCATTTAGCGAGAACACAAGGAACACACCACCATTGACCCTAATCTAGAAATCCAGACTCCAGAACATTTCCGGCTTGCCGGGTCCGTCTAGACTACTACATCCAGCCTACGGAGCACCGAGTCCCTTGATTGTGATCATCGCGGCTTTAATCTAAGTGTTACGATCTCATCGAGGATAGCTCACAGACCGCCATCCACCACTTAGTATATGGACAATGAGATAAAGCCTTAATATCGGCTCGTGTTGCTCTGCCGTGTGGGTTTAGGGTCTCGAAGCGTCGCCATTAAGCCGTACATACTACATACATACCTACTCTAGATACTACATAGTATCTGTCTACTGTATTTGGCGGTATACCCAGCAAAGTCCGGGTCCTGCAGCCACCCGCACCAAAGGGTCCTCGTCCAACAACGTCCATGGATGCTTCCCGTCCACAACCCCACCTCCTTCTGTCGGCCTCTGACGTGACCAGCCTTGGGCATTTTTGACGTTATCACCACCATCATCATCATCGTTCTTGATGTTACCATACATACATACATACTCTACTCCATGAGTTGTCACACTGACTACGCCAGATTGACTCATCTATTCCCAGAATGACAAGCCCCGCCTTTCATGCCCTACGCGAGAAGTACGCTGCGGGCCTCCGACTCTTCATTGCATCAACCCGCGGTCTGGAGGTTCTGGCCTCTGTCCCCTCCGAGCGCCATGATCCCACCTCATCCACTGACGTTCTGTACGTCCTCGATTCGTCCTTCAACCCGCCAACCCTTGCCCACAGCCGAATTGCGACCTCCGCTCTTCTAGAAAATCCCCACAAGCCCTCCCGTCTCTTATTGCTCCTCGCGACACAGAATGCCGACAAGCCCTCCAAGCCGGCGGCGTTCGAGACCCGTCTGGCCATGATGGAGCTCTTCGCTCGAGACCTTCTCTCGTCATTACAAACAAACGGGACTATTCCCAAGGCCCAAAATCTTCCCGTGATCGACATTGGAGTCACCAAGAAACCATACTTTGTGGACAAAGCCGCGGAGATTGAACGCGCGGGTATATACTCCTCGTCACTGGAGCAGGTACATCTGACGGGGTACGATACGTTGATCCGCATTTTCAACCCGAAATACTACCCACCAGAGCATACTCTCCAGCCGTTGGGACC